CATTCAGCTCTCTATTTAGTTATTTATTTATTTATTTATTCATTCAGCTCTCTATTTAGTTATTTATTAGCGAATTTATTTATTTATTCATTCAGCTCTCTATTTAGTTATTTATTAGCGAATTTATTTATTTATTCATTCAGCTCTCTATTTAGTTATTTATTAGCGAATTTATTTATTTATTTATTCAGCTCTCTATTTAGTTATTTATTAGCGAATTTATTTATTTATTTATTCATTCAGCTCTCTATTTAGTTATTTATTAGCGAATTTATTTATTTATTTATTTATTTATTCATTCAGCTCTCTATTTAGTTATTTATTAGCGAATTTATTTATTTATTTATTTATATATTCATTCAGCTCTCTATTTAGTTATTTATTAGCGAATTTATTCATTCATTCATTCATTCATTCATTCAGCTCTCATTCATTAATTATATTTTTCAGAGCTATGGCAACCTCTTCCAATGAAGCACAAGGAGAGGGAGGTGCCCGTAAGAAATCACCTGTGGGAGGGGCTGCAGGAGGGAAACCAGAATTTATACCAGAAAATGGATTTCATAAAGATATATTTACCCAAGATTTAGATGTCAAATATAAATGTAATCATTGTCAAAAAATATTACGTGACCCTGTACAGAGTGGCTGTGGACATCGCTTCTGTAATATATGTTTTGAGAAACTTTGCAAGTGAGTAAAATAGGTTATAATCAAATTATAGGTAGAATTTGAAGTACCAGCAACTTCAGTCATCTTAATTCATAATATATGTATAATCTTATTACTCTGCAAGTGACAAGAATCATATTATTATAATAAGATTATAAGATAATCTCTAGAGGTTTTCTCAACTTTTTATCTGTATCAGAAACACTGATAGCATCAATTTGTATCATTCTAATATTCATTCAGACATCTCAGACATCTGTGGTTCCAGCAATTACACTTAAATTAATTACTTTATGACACAGCTATTGCTAGCTCCTAATAGATTATTAACCACAGACATCTGATTGAAAATTAGAATGGTGAATATCGATGCTATCAATGTCTCCTTTACTCATAAAAAATGAAGAAACTGTTACAAATCCTTATAAAACTTCGTCAACGGAATCTAGTTCAAAGGATGAAATGTTTTATGTGTTTTTCTGCCTTGTATGTTTCTCTCAACAAAGCCTGATATGCATGTTTTGCCTTGTAAACGCATCTGATTTTGATAAATTTTGTATGTCTATTTCAGCAGTTTAAAATCAGCAAATGTTGTGTGTCCAGCATGTAAAAAAGAAGATGAAATTGACCCTGGTTCCAGTTACATGATCCTAGAAAGGGTAAAGAATTTTTTATAGATTGCTCACATCTGGTGGGTGATTCCTAGAGACCCACTTTGACTTGCATTTCATGCGAAAATCATAACATTTTCACTCCTATTCAGAGACCTTTCTTGATTACAGGGTTATTAAAGAGGTGTGTATCAGGAACACTGATAGTTTCAATTTGTAATATTCCAATTTTCAAGCAGACGTCTGTGGTTCTTGCAATTCGGCTAAAACTAAGCGCTCTCTGAGGTCAATATCTCAAAGAAAATAACAGTGAAATCAAATATGTTGAAGTATTTCTATAATTACAGAAACCACAGACATCTGACTGAAAACTAGAATGATGCAAATAGAAGCCTTAACCTTTTTTACAACCCTTTTAAAATTTTAGGGTAGCATTTTTTCATCAAGATAGCTGGACCTTTTTTGCTTTTTAGGAACCACTGAGGTTTGAAAATTTGTATTTTTCAGATGTACCCAGATATAGCTATAAAAAGAGAGTTGAATTCTAAGAGCACCAAATGTATCAATCAAGGATGTAGTTGGACCGGACAGTTCAAAAATTATATTGTAAGTAGCTACAGTATATACAAGGGGACATTACTCCATTTAAGTTTGTAGAAATTCAGACCACAATTGGATGTATATTATATTTTGCAAATTGTTTAAAATAGCTGTGCCTTGTATCTGTGTTAAACTATTTTATACTGCATAATTTCGGAATCAAGGGAGGTAACTCCGTCTTTAAGAATGATATCAAGACTACAATTAATTCTGTATTTATATTTTCTTTGTAGGTTCATGAAAGAGATTGTGAATTTCGAGGACTACCTTGTCCTAATTGTAACAAGAATATAGCAGAAGCCAAGCTCAAAGATCATATGGAAAATAGTTGTCAGAAACGTAAGGTTACTTGTCGAAGCTGCAACATTGAAATTCCTTTTTCGGAGTCGAAGGTATTTTTCGTTTATTCTATTTTACTCTCTCAATACTGTCAAGATACTGTTTGAAATTAAATGGGAGATTTGTGTCCTTCTGTTCTGTATCTTATTGGACTTATGAAATGAAATGGAGTTTTATATCCTACTGTTCTGTATCTTATTAGACTAATGGAATGAAATAGAATTTTATATCCTACTGTTCTGTATCTTATTGGACTAATGAAATGAAATAGAGTTTTATATCCTACTGTTCTGTATGTTATTGTACTAATGAAATGTAGTCTTATATCCTACTGTTCTGTATCTTATTGGACTAATGAAATGAAATGTAGTTTTATATCCTACTGTTCTGTATCTTATTGGACTAATGAAATGAAATAGAGTTTTATATCCTACTGTTCTGTATCTTATTGAGCTAATGAAATGAAATAGAGTTTTATATCCTACTGTTCTGTATCTTATTGAGCTAATGAAATGAAATAGAGTTTTATATCTTACTGTTCTGTATCTTATTGGACTAATGAAATGGAATAGAGTTTTATATCCTACTGTTCTGTATGTTATTGTACTAATGAAATGAAATGGAGTTTTATATCTTACTGTTCTGTATGTTATTGTACTAATGAAATGAAATGGAGTTTTATATCCTACTGTTCTGTATCTTATTGAGCTAATGAAATGAAATAGAGTTTTATATCCTACTGTTCTGTATGTTATTGTACTAATGAAATGAAATAGAGTTTTATATCCTACTGTTCTGTGTGTTATTGTACTAATGAAATGAAATAGAGTTTTATATCTTACTGTTCTGTATCTTATTGGACTAATGAAATGAAATGGAGTTTTATACCTTACTGTTCTGTATCTTATTGGACTTATGAAATGAAATGGAGTTTTATATCCTACTGTTCTGTATCTTATTGGACGAATGAAATGAAATAGAGTTTTATATCCTACTGTTCTGTATCTTATTGGACTAATGAAATGAAATAGAGTTTTATATCCTACTGTTCTGTATCTTATTGAGCTAATGAAATGAAATAGAGTTTTATATCCTACTGGTCTGTATCTTATTGAGCTAATGAAATGAAATAGAGTTTTATATCCTACTGGTCTGTATCTTATTGGACTAATGAAATGAAATAGAGTTTTATATCCTACTGTTCTGTATCTTATTGAGCTAATGAAATGAAATAGAGTTTTATATCCTACTGGTCTGTATCTTATTGAACTAATGAAATGGAGTTTTAGGTCTTACTGTTCTGTAACTTATTAGACCAATTAAATAATGTAGCTTTACATTTTACTATTTGTTGGACTAATTAGAGAGACACTGAACTATATAATCTAGAGAAATATTGTGCTAAAAATGTAAAATAATTTTGTCTGTAATTTCAGGAACATGGTAAAGTTTGTCCAAAAGAACCAATGCAATGTGAGGCCTGTCATAAAAGAGTTATAAGAGATCAGTACACTAAACATCAAGAAGAAGATTGTTTACGAAGAATAATTCAGTGTCCTGCAGGATGTAATGAACCTGTAAGTATATTTGGTATGGTTTGGCGCCAATTCTTCCATAGGAAACTGCAATTGTCTCAAGATGAGAGAAAAAGGGATCACATGAACGGTCTTGGTTGGCGATTTTTGTCACAGACTAGAGTTTGTCAAAAGTTTTCCTGATCAGCTACAGGCACACAGGGAGACAAAAATCTCCAGACGGTCGTTTTCCACTAAGTCCATAAACAAAAATGATAAAAAGGAAAATGACGCTCTGTCTTGCAGACACTCAGCTACAAATATCAAGCTGGTCTGTTATTATCAATATTTTAAATCTTGTCTTGTCAGCAGTGATAAAAGTCAGGGAATGCTTGAACTGAAAACTTGGTTGGAAGAACCTGAAATCTTTTCCAAACAATCAAATGCAATAAACTTGTAGAATTGTCTTTTTTAACAAAATTTAAACATTTTTCAGTTACGATATGACCAGCTTTTAACTCACATTCAAAAAAATTCAGCGACACATTTGAAGTTCGTTTTGGAAGGAGTGGAAAAGCTGAATAAGAAAATTGAAGAAAAAGTTAATTCTCTGACTGCACCAAACAATATTCAAGAATTGGAACGGGCCATCGAGGGATTAAATCGTAGAATTGAAGCTGTTGAAAAAGCAGGACATTCTAACGAAAGTGGAGCTAGTGGTGGAATCGCATCCGGCGACGATATCGGACTTACTTCACGGATGGCTGCCACGGAACTACGTCTGAATGCCTTCGAACCAATCATGGGGGTCCTACATCGTGAAATTGAGAAATGTATTGGAATTATTGAAACTGTTGATAAGAAGCAAGGAGATGAAAGTCGTTCTCGAGAAGAATTTTGGAAAAAATTTGACGAATTTGAAGCGAAAATACGAACGTTGGACAGGGCATTCCAAACGAAAGAGGTGACGCTATCTCAGTACGAGATGCGATTCGAATCATTGGAGTTTACAAGGCATGATGGGATTTTAACATGGAGGATTAGTAACTTTAAACAGAAACGACATGACGCTGTAACGGGAAAAACTACGAGTCTTTATTCACCAACGTTTTACACAGCAACCAACGCTGGACATGTCGGATATAAAATGTGCGCTCGACTTTATCCCAATGGAGACGGAATGGGAAAATCGACGCATATTTCCTTATTTTTCGTCTTGATGCGCGGCCATTTTGATAATCTGTTGCCATGGCCATTTAAAGAGAAGGTAACTCTAATGATGATAGACCAGAATAACAAAGAACATATACAAGATACTTTCAAGCCCGATCCGACAAGCTCTTCATTCAAGAAACCAGAAACAGAAATGAACATCGCGAGCGGATGTCCGTTATTTTTACCCCTGAAGCGTCTGGATGATCCAAACTCTGCGTATGTGAAGGATGACGTCATGTTTGTAAAGATTATGGTAGATAACTCCAATTCTAATCGATATCTTAATGGGTTTAACAGTTTTTCTTCCACCTGAAGGACTGGTTAATCAGGATCTCTGTATTATCAGGGGTAGAGGAAGGAAGCTGTAATGTCATTCTGAACTGAAATTATATCATTACACTGCATGAAAAAGGCACAATTTCACAATGTTAGATAGAAAGTGTGTTACACTAAAAGTGTATGTGTACACTGTAAGAAACAGGATTGATTAAAAAATGGTGGATGGAAAGTTTGCTGTGTTGCACTAAAAGTCTATGTGTAAATTGCAAGAAACAGGACCGATTAAAAAATGGTGGTTAGATTTTGATGTGATTCAGCACTGAAATTCTATCTTCTATCCCAAGAAAAAAAGGCAACAAATCCAAAAAAGCTGAGCTATTTGTTGCTGATTTCTCTCTAAACTTCTATCTGCGTACCGTACCATTAAAGAAATTTTGCAGAGATTTTGCGAGATTTCTATCTGTACATTGCAAGAAAAGGGGTTTTGCAATAATGCGATAATTGTTGAAATTATTTGGGCAGCATGAAATAGGCCTACTATTACCTCCAATATGCCATATGTTGATACTAGAGTAGTATCTATAATGGTCAATTGAATGACGAAGTGAATATGACGTCCAGGTCAATTGAATGAATGAATTGAATATGACGTCCAGGTCAATTGAATGAATGAATTGTATTATAATTAATGTACTCTCACTCCCTTGTAATCATTGTATTACAAAGATATATGTGCTCATCTGGGCCCAATCAAATTACAATTGCTCTTTATTCCCCCTCAAAATAAAAGGGACAGCTTGTGTTTAAGAGTTGAATCTGATCTGGATGAGCACAATTATCTATGGTGCTAGGCTAGATACATGTTAATAACGGCTATCACTGATGTAAACACTTACTAAACATAGGATATAAGTATATCTACCTTCTATATATACCTTCTTGTACCAAATTGCCTCACTTCACCTGATGCTGACAATGTAAATTGTTGAAACATTGTGTAAAATAAAACCCAGGAGTAGTATACTAAATAAACTGATGATGACAATGTAAATTGTTGAAACATTGTGTAAAATAAAACCCAGGAGTAGTATACCATATAAACTGATGATGACAATGCAGATTGGTGAAACGTAGTGTGTAATAAAACTAAGGAGTAGTATACCATAAAATTGTGTTAGCATATATTGAAAATTTAAATAAGAAATTTGATTTGTAAAGTAATGATAGATGAAGTTATAGTTAACAAAATATAAATAAAAAAATTACTATAACTAAATATTAAAACTGTTTAAATAGTGCCCAATACATCAACTTAGATAATATAGAAATAGTAAAACAGAACCTGAAACATGTTGTTACTTCACAGTACATACCAGTACTGGAAAAACTTTAGTAGAGACGCAGGCTGAAATATATCAATTATACATCGCCAGCATTAAACCCTTAGCAGAAACATGTTTCAGGTTCTGTTTTAATATTTCCATGGTATAAGTCATTTATCTCAATTGGACTTTATCTATAATGTATATATGTTTATTTATTGTTAATAAGTATCTATAATACTATAATGATTGTCGCTGTATTGATTCTGGTTTTGTTTTATAGTTTGAACTGAAAGTATCAGTTTATATTCTTTATTTAAATTGTCTGTATTTGAATGTGTCTGTATCTCATCTGGTAGAGGAATTAAACTAAACTGACTAGATATGCTGAGATTTGATGTGCTGTGAGTGAAATAAAAAATTGTTTAATTTTTTTAAATTGTTTAATATGGTTTGTAAAAATTCATTTTTGGTTTAAGTAAAATTTAAGCATTGAAAATTTCTATCACTATATTAGTTGAAGCTTAAATAAGGTCTAGGAGCTGTAAATAAAAGCTCATATTAAGCTTATATTAATTATTATGCATGTTTGCAAGAGTTCAAAATAGGTAGGTAGGTAGATGACAAGTTAACGTTCGCTTCCAGCGGATGCTGATATCGCAAACTAGGTAGTTGTTGGTAGTCGTAGTAGTTGGTAGTTGGATTGGATCAAATTGGATGATTCGGTGTTGTTGGTTTGGTTGTTGATTCTTCGTTAGATCTGGTCGGGTCGAATGACATGGCGGTGAAACTCGGCCCTGGATGGTGTGGCGTGAGTTACTCGGTCTCCTTCATTCTTCCAAACTCGTTCTGATCATGGTATTTCTTGTTGATTGGTAGTCGAATGGTAGTCGTTGGTTTGGTTTGGTTTGGTTAGATTATCTGTTATCTGTTGGAAAACTCGAAGACCTGAAAAAAAAAGAAAAAAAAAAGAAAGTGAGAAAAAGAGGGAGGAAAGAGGGAGGAAAGAGGGGGGGGGGGGGGGGAAACTTTCCCAAAAGGGGGGAGAAATGTTCTCTATTTCTGCGATGAAACTTGTTAAAGTGATTGGATATAATTAAAAAGTGTTAAGAAACTTTGATAAAAAAAAATCTTAGCCTATCTGTTCAAGACAGATTTGGTTATGAAATGGAAGACTAGTTCCATTATCGTATACCAGTGGTCCGTGGGTGGAGCCAAAACATTCTGTATGGTTAGTGGTATGCCGTTGGTTTCCAGGTACTCTAGTAGTGGCTTACGAGCGGGTTTCAATTCAGTGCATTGAATGAGGATATGCGACCTTGTGGCAACGTGGCCGCAGCGACATTTAATGGCGTTGAACTGATGGTCTCGTAGTACGTTGTTGGTCCGGAGTCTGGTTGCCACTTTGCAGATGGCTACACATGGATGGTTTGGTTTGGTTTGGTTTGGTATCTTCGGATCAATCTGGTATCTTGCGGTGTCGAGGTTCCGTAACATGTCAGACCATTTCTGGTTGATCCTAGAAGATACGATACTGCAGAACTCCGAATAGGAGTATTCTACAGGCTCGATATCCTCCAGACTCAGACTTTCTTTGGCACAACGGTCTGCTTGATCGTTGCCAGGAATGGAGACGTGCGATGGAACCCATACTAATTCAATCTTCTGGTTGTTGTTGGTGAGTTCAAAATAAAGTAGAGGGGTGTTTTATAGCTGCCTTACAGTGTTAATAACCGATATATAAATTATAACTGTGATATAACATCATACTATTACATAAATCACTTCTCCATTATGATTCATCATTGTACACTGTGTTACTTAGTTATTATGATTGTATTAAGTCTTATTATTGATAATTTGGCTTTTTATTTTCTTCAAAAACTTCCTTTTTTGAAGGTTTTTTGATCAGCATTTGGGATTCAGGTCAAAATTTACATATGAACTGGTGTCCTTGACTTTATGACCTATGACCTGGACAGTGTCCTTGACTTTATGACCTGATGTCCTCAGCTTTATGATCTAAGAACTTGTGTCCTTGACTTTATTACCTATGACCTGGTGTCCTTGACTCCTTGATCTATGAACGCGTGTCCTTGACTTCATTCGAGACGAACGTTCTGCCAGCTCTCTGCTCTCAGCTTTACGGACACTGTCGAGGATTGACGAGTGCTTCCGAGAGTCGTCCTGGTGTCGGTTATCAACTCCTTTACCTAATCCTTGACTATAAATATATAATCCTGACACTCAGATTTACGCAGATTATTGGCTGAATTCCTAATATAAATTATACGATTAAGTTATCTTAGAGTCGAGGCCTAATTGGATCGGATTATGAGACAATTCTCTTTATAAAACGAAAACTGCCGAAGATTGCCGATTGAGCGTATGTCTTTTGTTCCTTGATACTGCCCTTGAATGACGTAATGGACCTTGAATAACATGATAGAAAACTTACTAATGAATATAACAGTGTCATTAAGAGGGGACAATACGATATGACGGTCATTTAGGACATTGATGGGGTGATTTGCCTTACTCTCCTCATACCCCTTATATCCCCATGTGGAATAGGTCACTCTTCAATATACTAGCTTCAAGCTTTCAAGTCAAATTCAAAAACTTTACCGTACCGAAGCTGGAAATGCTCTCTCTTCCGGGTGTCCCTTACTCACCGTGGAACTAAGTTTGTCATCTTATGTGTAATGGTTCGGGATTTTGAATCCCAGGATAAAGTTTTTATTTGTTTTTGAAAACTTTCTGAAATATGCAGAAATATATGTGCAAACGGTCTACAATGAAAGTTGCACTAGCGCCCAGCTTTCGAGGATTGCCGAAGGATATATTCAATGAAATGTACTCTCAGATTATTTGAAGAGGGAAGGTCGGTGAATTACAGACACCTGTTGTCATGACGTAAGTGTCATTGTCATATATATACGTGTATAACATATAATATTATATAACTAGCTAGCAATTATCCCAGCCTCTACAATCATTAATCTACCCATTTCTGATAATTGCTCTCTTTTCAACGAACTTGATCACTTGTTAATTGATGTTATTTACAGCCCCGTCGCCAGGAATGAATTGGTCCACCCAAAAGCCCCTACACCCAAAAAAAAAACCTTTTTTTACAATCCCTTTAACCTTCCATTAACTGTCAAAAAATTACAAAATGGTCGTGTTGTGGTTCACTGGGATCGACCTTGAAAACTTGTCAAACTGCAGGATTAGGAAAACTAAGTCTTATACAAAACCAACACCATTGAAGCTTTATTCATTGAGGCGAACTAACTGTTTATTCAACCAAATAGGCCATGACATGTCACTTATCGAAGGGTGTCAGTGTGGTTGTCCGGGGGGGGGGGGGGGGGGGGGGGGGGAGAGACAGATTGCTACCCCATTACGATATACTACTGAATACATCATGCAGTGTGCAATGATGAATATTTTCAACAAGACATTTCCTTCTGATTGATATTGCAGTTGTTGGAAATCGAGTAAAGAACGGGCCAATGGTGCTGTTCTGGCAAAATTTCCCTCATTGCACCTGGCATGACGGTGTGCGTCTTCATTAGCCCACATGGTGCAGAAAAGTAGGACCTAAAACTCCATTCATTTCATTTCTGAATTGTATTGAAGATTTGGAGTACCCACGCGATAATCAAACATAAGCTCACATGATGAAATATCAGGTAGAAATGATGTAAGCCATTGAAATATGGATTTAGCTTTTTTTGACTGCCCCGACTGAAAATTAAACAAGGAAGTGATGAATAATACTGTTTAAGGGTGTAAATTCGCACACCGAAAATTGTCCATCGGTTTTAAGTAATTCAGCCTTGAAGTCGAGTAGGGCAGGAGACAATTCTTTGCCTTTATCAAATGATAAGAAATTTGGGGTGGGCGTCTCCTTACCAACCTAAAACATAGAAACGTCAGTTGAAATTCCTCGGTCGGTCACCATAACATTTATTTACGTTCGTTAACCCCTTTAACTTTTACTCGCACGCACGTGCTAATACCGTGAACGCGATAACCTACCGATAATTGGACCAATCAGTGTCAAGTACAAATGGTCATTAACCAATCAACGTGCAGATATCAAACGAACTGTAAACACGGGAGAGTAGATAAATAGTCAACAATATTGTAAACCTGTCATAAATGAAGCAAGAGCGTATACAGATTAACTAGTTGTAAACAAATTGTTATAGGAATATAACATATCGTATATAAAGAAGAAACAAGAGAGCATAAGGTAAGGGTTGCTGTATTCTCTTTTCATTCATTCACCACAAAGCATTCATTCATTCGTTCATATTCACCTCACCAATGGCTATATAGTCTTGCTTTGTGATCTTGCTATTCAATTCTTTGTTTCTTTTATTCATTCTTTGTCTATTGTTTTCATTCGTTCATTCATCCACTATCAAAACAAGACTTGTTGTTTACTTGTTTTGGTGGGGGAGGGGGGGGGGGGGGGGGGGTGAAAAACCTTTAGGTAACATTTTACACAAAAATTGCCAAGAAAATATTAGACATCTATGCATCCAAGACATTAGCAAAACATATATCTGCACCATTCAATTATTGATCGCTCGACAGTTGAAAATGGATTAGGCTGTCATTGCAAAGTTTCCCTCGTTGCTCACAGATATGTATGTGGGGCTATATACGAATTATTGATTTTTACCTGGATGTCAAACACCTGTCAATATCGCTGCTCTATTTCAACCAGACTAATAATGATAATATATACATAGAACTAACGAGTCATTGACCTTTTCTATCAATACATCTTCTTT